TAATCAACAAACACTTTATCAGGCCGTAGTGCAAGAAAAATTTGCAGATATTTACAGACGCTTTAGTAGATTCCCAAACACAGAAATGTGGAATTGGGGTACATTGTCCATCACTAAACATTAACATAGCGGAAAGAATTCAGGATAATACACATATATGCACAGCAGAAATAATAGCCATTAAAAAAGCTTTTACAACAGCAAGTAATAAAACAGAACAGCTAACAATATTATCAGACTGTCTGAGTGCAATTCAGAAAATAAAAAAGATATGCATTGACACAAAATCCGATAAACATACACTAACAGTAAGAAAAATCATCACAGATGCCCAACAGTGTAGGAAAGACATAAAATTGGTTTGGACACCCATTCATGTATGTATGCATGCGAGGAAATAAAATGGCAGATCAACTAGTAAACAAAGAAAGAAACTCCAACCAGATGCTTCAACATATACTGCATTACCCAGATCTCCTAGGAACTATAAAAAATCATTGAGGTAAAATTAGGTAAACATGTGCAAGGAACAGGGGAGAAAAAAAAGAAAGAATATACAAAGAATTAACCCCAGAATCACCAACGATCTCATGGCACTTTAAAATAGCATTCATATCTTGCAGACACATCACAACAATCATCAAATTCAGAACACAGTGCAAGAAATTTTCTCGCCTCAGAGAAAACGCTTTCTCACAAGTGGCGCTTGTTTACGAGACGGCTCTCGGGCGCCAGATTTAGTATGTGGTTTACTCCAGAAACTTTCGAAACGGCGTCGAAAGTACTCGGGCAGCACAGATGGAGATGAAAAATTCCAGGCGTCAAAGGTCATTTAGACTCAGGTAATTAGTAGCCACAAGTAACGGGCTTTAATCATTACTTGTGGTTGTAAAGAATTTCTCACTGCTAAAAAGTAAGGGGGAACTAAATTGGGGACTAGTAACCTCAGTAATAGTTAAGGTAATGTTGACACATATATTGGTTTAACTATTTACAATTAAAATAAAATAGAATATTTTAAAGCCCACCATCTTGGTTATGAAACCCTGAACAAAAAAAATTAAAACCAAAAACAAAACGGGAACGAACGGCTGATATAGTTGGCAGGTATTCTCAATCAGACTGCCTAAACTGGGTATTCGTAAATCTCAGACTAAGGTCAAAATTTAAATCTCGGATAGTAGGAATTTAAAAATTTTAAATTTACGGTAATTACTTTTAAATCGCAACAAAAAAAAATAACTGAAAATCATGGATAATACGAATTTAAATAAAAAAATAAATTTACGGCAATTACTCCTAAATCGCAAGAAAAATCAAAATGTAAGTCGTGGATAATACGAATTCAAAAATTTAAATTTACGGTAATTACTTAAATCACAAAGAAAAATCAAAATGTAAATCAGGGATAGTATGAATTTAAAAATTTAAATTTACGGTAATTTTCTTAAATAGCAAAAAAAAATCTAAATTAAAATCAAGGATAGTATGAATTTTAAAAATTCCAAATTTCCAGTAACTTTCTTAAATCACAAAGAAAAATCTAAATGTAAATCCAGGATAGTATGAATTTTAAAAATTTAAACTGCGGCATTTCTAAAACTCGTGAAGACCACTTGAAATCTTTTTAAATGTTTGTTTTTTAAACCCCTGAAGCCAACGAGCAAGCTACGCTGAATCAAACCCACACTACCTCTTATTATTATTTATGATTATAACCCCAGATCGGACGGGGAGAGCCAGGAAGGAAAACTAACACAGGGAACTTTAAGCCCTCACTGAGTTAATTGCGGATATCTAGGAATGAAAATAACACAGGGAACTTTAAGCCCTCACTAAGTTATTTGGGAATAGACAGGGAGGCAAAATAATACAGGGAACTTTAAGCCCTCACTGAGTTAATTGCGGATAGCTAGGAAGGAAAATAACACAGGGAACTTTAAGCCCTCACTAAGTTATTTGGAAATAGACAGGAAGTAAAACTTACACAGAGAACTTTAAGCCCTCACTGAGTTAATTGCGGATAGCTAGGAAGGAAAATAACACAGGGAACTTTAAGCCCTCACTGAGTTATTTGGAAATAGCCAGGAAGGAAAAATAAAGGAACAAGGATTTTTATATTCAAAACAGGAAATAAAACCCTTCCCTTCGGTAGAACAAAATCCCGGACAGTCAAACTAAACAAAAAAAAAACAATATTCAGTTCCCGTATTTCCCACGGTTAGGAATTTAACAAATCTATTTTTGTAAAGTCTATCTAAATTAAAAAAAAACGAAAGGAAATAAACACTCTAATTCCTACCTTTTCATAATTTACTTATTTAATAATTCTATTCACAAAGTCGATTTATATCTGAAGCAGTCCTCGCCGTTCGAAGAAAATAATAAAAAAAAAATATAAACGCGGCCAATATCCAAACAAGAAAATATTCTTCGAGTGTTAATTGAATTATTAAATTTCGGAATTTTTAAACAAAACTATTTACGTGTTAAAATGTAAATCTCAAAAGGTGTTTAAATCTACCTAATTTGATTCTGTTTTATTTTCTAACTAAACTCGATGCTACGGCAAAAAAATCAAAACGAGTTTTTTGTATTTACTGTGGTAAACAAACCGGTTTTGGCTCACGGCACTGGTATTACACTAAAGCTCTCTGCCCACTACAGCGTACCATACCATGACCAAAACAGGAACGTGTCAGGCACGAAAGAAAGCACTCCGGTCACTACTATGCCCACTGCAGCGAATCAGCAGCGTTTTAAGGTCTATGCCCACTATACCGTACCATACTATGACCGTGCCCGGACCTGATTTTTTTTTTTGTAGAGATTCAAATGAGGATGGTGTGGTCGATGCCGGGCCGGTCTAGTGGGCATTGTCTCATTTAAATCTATACAAAGAATATTTTTCTGCCTATGCCGGTACGGTCACGGTCATAGTATGATCCGGTGTAGTGGGCATAGACCTTTATCCTCACCAACAACATAGCTTTCTATGCGACGGTCCGTGTAGGAACCTGCAAAATATTCTCGCTGTGAAATTGTTGACGGTCCTGTCATGGCACGCTACGGTGTTGGCCGGTGACAAAACGGTCTAGTGGGTATTGTCGCATATCAAAACATGCAAAGAATATTTCTTTGTATGTTTCGATACGGTTACGGTCCTAGTATGGTAAGGTGTAATGGGCAGAGACCTTTATTGAATTACTCTTTCGATCGCTCGGAATGGAATTAAAAATTTCTCTCTCGCTGTTCTCGATCTGGACTCGAAAAATATTTACCAATGCCCCGCGCATGATCAACTTAAGAGGGAGAAGATATTCGAGAAGGGGTACGGTGCTGGGTGCTGACGTTCGTTCTCGTTTAAAATATTAAAAAAGATAAATACCCAAATCTACAATTTTCTATAATATAAATTCAAAACCTTGGTTTTTACAAACATTTAAAACAACCCAGAGCAAAAAAAGTCAAAGGGCTTTACTAAAAGAACATACATTTTCGAAAAAAGAGTTTGCCCCAGGAAGTTATAATAAAAAGTACATAGTTACAAATCATTTTAAAGAAAAAACAAGGGCTTTTTGGAGCTGAGAAGAAATTTTTGAAGCATTTACGAGAAAATATTTGAGTAAAAGGTGCTATCTTTACCTCAGAAATGCCCTAAAGTATCATTTGCTCAGGATTTCAACTCTAGAAAAGTGCGCTGCCAAAATAAATTTAAGATATGGTTTTTGGATGATTTATTTAAATACTTCAAGTATATGTAATGTTAAATCTCCTTTGTATATTGTATGTACATAAACACAATAGATATAACTATTTTTCTCTAATTTCGTACTTATTTTTATATAGATTATTATAATAAAACTGGGTTGTTGTTGTTTTATTGTTTTTTTTTTAACTAAATTATACTGTTCATACATCCTAGAATCTGATAAAATATATTTTTAAATATACATTGTATGTTACTTCTGAAGTCCAGCGGGCCCTTGTTTTCTTTAATAAAATTGTTTGTAACTACTTTTTACTAAAAACGTCATTCTTATTTTAATAATGTAGGTTCTTTTAGTAAATCACTTTGACTTTTCTTGCTCTTCCCTGTGTTTAATGCTTTTAAGAAACCATCTCGTCTGCTTTTAAATATAGGGTGGACAAAGCGGCAATTAATTTAATAATTGTAAATTATTTTTTCAGAATAATACTCTAAAATCTTACCGTTAGCCTTTAATTTCAGTTTATGCTTAATCCCTTTATTTTATCTAACGATTTTTGTGTGAATCAAAATTAAAAAATGTTTGGCTACAGCAACACCTGCGGCTCGCTTAAGGTTTGCCAAAATTTTAAAATATTTCGGGATATAAACAAAGTGTGATCCGAATTCAGCTCGGTAGCCGTACGATAACTCAAAATGTTTAAAATAAACTATTTACACAACATTAGTTCTCTGTATATTTCAAATAAAAAGTAATTCATTTAAAATTTGATGGAAATCACTACATGTTTTTTTCTTGCTATTTCGTAGCTTATGTTTCAAAAAATCAAACTACGGATGGTATAAAAACACCAGAACAAAGTTCAAAAATAAAAATGTAAACACCACTAAATAACAATTCTTTCATTCCGTGAAGTCCTGAGTCCTTGGCAACCGTGATGAGGCCACCGTGTTGTTTACGAATGGTGGACAATTAACAAAATTATACTATGCTGGCTAAATGTCTGACGACAAGTGGCCATAGTAACTAGAGAAGAAGAAGAAGAATCTCAGACTAATTCGATAAAGAATCACTTTGTTGACTTCGTACATAAATAATACTACGTATTTATTTTAGTATTACTATTACTATTTTTCAACGTTATTTAGAACAAAATATTTGTTTTGACAATAAATAATGTAAATATCGACTACATTTAATAAAAGTTATCGATAAAAGTTAATTTTAATTGAGCAATGAAATAGGTAAACAATTTATACACAACAAAACAAACAACCGTGTTCAGCTTACCTTACAGAAAAAAACACTATTGACAGTAATAAACCACACATCAAGCATTACAAACGAACCGAAATTCTGTTGTTAATTTCGTCATATATCGACGTTATAAAGTTGCACTATACAATTCAATACAACATAATGCCCCGGGTATATTATTTTAAATATTTAGATAAGCGTGTAATTGGAAATGGAGAATGGAGGTCACAAAGGTCAATCCAATCAAGTAACTGTTAACCCGAGTGTATCCGATGGATTTAATTGCGATAATTAGACCGGTTAATTGAATTACGGCACAATGTGTACATACACGTACAATGCTAGGTACAATTAGAATCATTAATTATGCAATACGAATGTGTATTATTATTATTATTAATTTAATCTTATCAAATTACGTCTTAAAAGATAACCGCGATTGGTTACTATACTTTATTTGAATGTATTTTTATTCATGTCTTATTGCATAATTTACTTAAAATAAAACTACCTAAGTCGTACAATACTGTTAAAAAGCATTATTTTAAAGGCGACTTTCTTGACAACAATGTCAGAATTATTCCTTGGTTTAGTGGCCCGAACAAATGCGGTTTCGCAAGTAAATAACGGTCAACAGAAAAATGAACAAGAAGAAATATCGTCTGTCTGCTTCTGTACGTAATAGTACCGTCTGATGGAAAGGTCATGGCAATGGTCTTTTGTGATACTAAAGAGATACTCCTAATAGATTATCTTGAAAAGGGAAGAACAATAAATTCTGAGAACTACAGCGACTTACTGGACCAGTTTAAGCAGAATATAAGCGAAAAACGCCCTGGTTTGGCAAAAAAGAAAATTCTGTTTCATCAGGACAATGCACCTTGCCACAAGTCCGTTCTTGTAATGGCTAAAATTCATCAGCTAGGCTTTGAACTGTTAAACCATCCTCCGTATTTTATTTGTTTCCAAACCTAAAAAAATTTTTGCTTGTAAAAAAGTTTCCACGGATTTAGAAGTAATTGCAGCCACAAACGCCTATTTTGACGAGTTATATAAATCAGACTACAGTGACGGTATTAAATCGCTTGAACATCATTGGGTCAAATGTATTACCCTACAAGGGGACTATGTAGAAAAATAAATTCTTATTCAGTCACTATTGTGTTGCGTTCTATGTTAGGCCGGAAACTTTTCATCCCATCTTCGTAGACTCCCTAGAGAGGCGAACTGAGAAGGTATTCGACATTACTTGGTGAGTATTTCGAAGAGGGTATGGTGAAAGTAACTGGTAAACGAAACGTTAATAGAGCAGTAGACCAAGTAAGTAAGGCTATTATAACCACTGGAAAAAACAAGACAACAGAGAACAAAAACAAATTGGTGAAATAAACACTTTAGAACAACTGAAGTGCGAAGGCTATTCAATACAGCCAAATCAACAGAAGATTGTACCCTATATAGGGCTGAACTCACGCAGTACAACAAGGAGATAAGAAATAGGAGGCTAATAGATAATCGTGGATAAAGTTCTGTGAGGAGTTATTTAAAACATCAACATGCTACAGGATCCAAAAAGTCCTTGCTATGCAAACCAGGTAGAATTTCTCAGGAAATACGCACACAAACACACACAGGCGCGCGCGCGCACACACACACACACACACTCCCGCACACACGCACACACACACACGCACACACACACACACACACACACACACACACACACACACACACACACGCACACACAGACACACACATGTATATATACACATCTTCGGATCTTAACCAAATGTATATGAAACTATTCCTTTTCTAACAAAATTGTCGCAAAGTAGGGCGTGAACCTATAATATGAAGTGTATAAAATGATAGATAAAGCCAGTTTAGAGGGTTTTATAAATAAACATTGTGGAATTATCGAGAGTCTCGATTTTGAATTGGAGGAAGAGTATTCTATTCAATTTAGAATAAAATTTAATCAAAAGGAAACCCATGAACGATACGCTGTTATTGACGACTTTCTTCAAACGTTTTCTAGTTTTACAAATACTAACTGGATAGTTGGAAAACCATTTCCGTCGATAAATCGCCTCTTGCTCCGAAAAAAGTACTCGCGTGTCAACATTCATCGTTCAATAAAAAAAATGTTAGATACAAAACGCTTCGTATTGTAAGGCCAAAATAGATTTAGAAATCAAAAGAGTCAACAAGGGCACTACTAGAAACAACAAACCGTTGTCGAAAGTGTATAAAATGGTTTTTACTAATTTTTTAACAGAAATCCGTCCCTTGGTTTGTCAGATATAGAGAGTACCCCCATTGCTAAAGAGCCTATATATGATTTATTTTGATTATATATAAACAAAAAATCATTAAAACTGAGATAACTACCAAGTTATTGATTTATAAATTTATTTTTATTATCTCTAAAATAGGTTTGCAATGTGCTGATGTGGAATGTTATCATCGACTAAAAACTTTAAATCTTTGTATTAAATTGATCTAAAACGATCCATAAATTGGTTAAGACTATACAGAATGTTTCTAGTAAGGCGACTAACTTTTATTGTGGAACCGAAAGACCCTGTAAAAAGGGTTCAAAATTAAAATAAAATATGTACCAAGTAGAAGCAATAATTTTCAGGTAAATGTATTACTATATTTTAATTTTGAATCTTGAGAGATGCAGATTCCATCTTTGGAAAATTTAGATTGAAAATGGTAAAATGGAAGGTTTTCTGTTTAAGACTCATAGTCGGCTGACAAAATGTAAAAAATATCGAACATATTTCTGGGCGGAACGCAATTGCCCCCTATTTTGCACTCCCCTGATTAAATTTACTTGTAGCCGTTCTTTTCACCTCTGAATAAAGTTACATGTTACAGATTAACGAACAATAGTTTAATCAGCAAGTAGTTATTTTCAACTTTACTCAGGGGTGAAAAGATTGGCCTTTAATCGAATAAGATGTCAGACGCAAGCAAAACCTCGTAAATATAGCACTAATGATTGCCGAAAACTAATTAATTCATATATTATGCCATATCTCTCTTAATAAGGACTTTCAGAACCATATTTACTAGAATTTTTTTCATCTTTTTCTATATACAATCATCTCTAAAAATATATGCCTTCCAACCTAAAACATCGTGTGAACTATTTGTTTGATCAATATAAAACTTGCGCCGGTCCTGTCTGAGCTAGCATCGTTATGCGCATGAGCTCCGATAAACTATTTTCTTCTTATGGTTTCACTTTTCCTGTATGGAATCGGCTTTCTATAGTATTTCTATGGGTGTATGTACCATAACTATATTTTTACTTTCCATATTTACTTTACGCGTGGCCAAACAATACGCTCCCGACAAGTACAAACAACAAATAAATATGTTAATGAATTATTAATAGTTTTGCATTTGCAGCAAATAAAATCATCGCATAGCAATGAAAAAGTGGGCCTCCAGCGTTTCTCCCCCTGACGTTGTTCGCTCCGTGCGTGACAGCAGCGCCAATTCATTTAGGTACTAATGAACTATTTTTGCGTATACTGACAAAACAATTTTTAGTAGAAATCGTATATATGTTAGTTTTAGTAAAAGTACATGGATTTATAAAACAAGTAAAACATTAATTTATTATTATTACTATTATTTTTATCGCTTAAACCATTGTATCTAGATCAACAAGTGAAACAATACCAATACAAATTATCTTGGAGGACAATGGACAGTATCAATAGATGGCAGCAAGCTCCCTAGTGTCCAAGTCATGTCTTTGATAATTGTGTCGTCTTCTACCGAGCCATAAAATGGTTGTCGAAACTGAATAATGAAACCTAATTTCTCTATTTACTAATAAATATGAAATAAACGAGTTTAATTATGTTTGATAAACATTCATTTACGACTTATCATTATTTTATAGAATATTAACAATATTAATTTAAATTTGGCAGTTTACCCAAATTAATTTAAAAATGAAGAAAACTTTATATATATAGAATTCTATACTCAATGATCGCTAGCGCTTGGGCCATTTTTATGAAGTTTAGCAGAAGTCGCGACAAAAATGCCTAAAATGAAACGTCCAAAGAGTTGTTTTACTATCTTATCTAAATACAATGCTTAAACTAAAAAAAATTAACTATAATCAATAAATAATAATATATAAAATATATATATATAGGCAACACAATTTTCGGAAAAATGTATGAGAAGTTGCGAAAGTCTAATGAGTTTTCAAAATAAAATAATAGCGTGAAGTTAAAATGTATAAACAGAAAGATTGTTTATATATTTTCATTTTTGTTAAAAAAAAAAAATAGAATAAATGATTAAAACTGGTTTCCTATCAGTAAGTCACAAAATTGCATTCCAGCCACACACAATAATCAAAGTCGAAGTTCTTGCTGAACATTTTAGATTAAAGGAATGTTGAAGAATATCGTAAAATGATAATTTATTGTTTATTTAAAACCTTTTAAGTTTATGATGTCTAGTATTTTCCAGAAATACTGTTATTATTACAAAAATAAAGGTAATTTTTCTTCTTATTGTACACCTATCCATTTATTTCTTTTGTTTAATTTCCACTTTGCTACTGAAAATTTTTATAATTTATAATGTTTTTTTTGCTAGTATTTTTACAATTTCCAATACAGCAACTCCGATTGCTTATTGTATTGTTTTTACTTAGTTTTTTGAAGAAAAAAAGTAAAATGTATACATGTATTTGATATGCCAAAATTACAAAATATTGCCCTAAAATGCACTAATTATCCGCAGCTAGGGCTAGTATCGCTTTTGCTTCCCCTACCATGACTTCGCAATGAGCGAATTCGAACCGTGTACGGCACTGGCTCACATCTAGGGAGTTTTACTTTTATTTTCATCATGACGATTTGGTATCGGGTATTGTTGAAGACCCAGTAGCATTTTAAGTGAGAAAATTAATAAAAAATGAAAACCAAAAATGTTGTATCGGGAAAGTCGTTTGCAAACACGTTTTATAACACTCTTATCCAATGTTTAGTTGAGCATTTGCCGTGGAAGTAGTTGTTTGTATTATGAGCCGATCTGACATTATCGAAGGTATGGTGGCAAACGCTTTTTATTTTTGTAAATAATTAATATTATTGTGGACAAATAAATTTTTATTTTCAAAATTATTAAATATGTTTTAATAACTTTTTGAAGCAGAAACTGAGCAATATAGAATCATCCAGATTAATCCTAGAGTTACTCGAACTGTAAAGTTCATACTGTCGAATCCCTTTGTTCCATATCAATTACGCTTTATAGTGCTCGTTAAATTTTTTTGTTCTTTTTGGCAGAAGTG